GAGAGAGAGAGAGAGAGAGAGAGAGAGAGAGAGAGAGAGAGAGAGAGAGAGAGAGAGAGAGAGAGAGAGAGAGAAATGAATATGAATGAATATGCTGCACTGGACTTTCCAGACTCTTGGCCAAGTCATCTTGTGGCTCCTGAGAGAGGCAGACTCGGGGGGCACCAGCAGCAACTCAGAGCTCTGGCTCTCAAGGAGGGAGCAAACTCCCAGGCCTGTAGCCAGTACTTTAGGTGCCCTGGGAGCCTCACCTTCACCCATTAGTGACAGGAAATGGTTGGTCAATGGAACCAGTGGCCTAAATGAGTCCCAACTAGAAGGGTTTGGAGCCTGGCTGCTCAGAGGAGGAAAAAAGGAACTGGCAGGCCTGCTCTACCTGGTTCCCATGGACTAGCAATACCTGCTCACCATGGGGACTCCTCCAGCTCTGGTTCTGAGGAAATTCAGCAAGAAAACAATCAGGATTACTGGTGTGTGTGTGTGTGTGTGTGTGTTTGTGTGTGTGTGTCTGTGTAGGCATTCCTAGGAAGCATTTGGCACAGTTACAAATAGCATACTAAGCTGGCAAAAATGCTTTACAATTATTTTCTAGACAACTCCATGTACATCTCAGCAGGAGAAGTTCCGCACAAATACGGTTCTTATGCACTGGACAAAATTAGTTCAATTACTCATGAACCCTCAAAGGTGCTTAATTAGTTATAACAGCAAAAGAACAAAAGATCAAGAAAGGTCTGGTTCTCTGGTCAGAGATTCATTCAACCAGCTGGGCAGATATGTGTAGAAAAGCCAAACCACACCAGGGAAGAGTCCATTAACTGTGAGAACTCTCTAAAATAATAAGTATCATCTTCTGTACAATGAAGATGACACCAAGTATATTTCTAGGTATAAACAGGGATGACATTAAATGCTTGTGTTTATACAAAGTTATGCTCATAATTCTCAAGTGAGCAGAAGTGGGGGCACTTTCCTCTCTGACTTCAGTGTGAGGTAACTTGATGTACCTTAGGGCACATGGCCCCTGGTCACCTGCCTCCTAGGTCACCTGCAGTGATTGAGGGTGGGTGCTCTCCTAATGAAACCCACCATGCTGGGGTTAGGCCTCATGCACATCTACGAAAGAGGGCAGCTAAGTTGTCCTTAGAGGAACAATTCAGATTCTCTTTACTGGGTATTAAGAGCTTAGCAAAATGCTTGCTATAAACTCGGTACTCAGTTGTATCAGGTCAGTAGCTTAAAAATCTGTTTTTGACAGCAGGACCCCTAATCCCATAGTGAAAGAGATCAAAAGGGGACTCCCCTGGTGGAGGCAGGCCCATTACCTTGCCTGCTCAGTGTTCTGCTCCCCCTTGACTGAGGGTTTAAGATCATAGGATTAAATGCATTCCAAGGCCACTGGCTCAAATCTGGCTTAGGACAACTTCATGTTACCCAAGTAAAATGGAATTTTTACTCCTTTGTCAGGGCAGGTCATTTCAGGAACAGACGGGACTCTGTGGAGGGTACTTGTAACTACTGCTGCAGCTTAGGAAGAGTTTTTCATAAACAGGAAAAGATTAGAATTTAGCTGGAAATATGGATCTTCCAAACAAAGTGGGAACTGCCTGACTTGTCCTAGCTCTCACTCTACAGTCTAGTCAGAAGAGAGTGGACAGGCAGATGGTGAGGATGTGCCTGTGGTCTGACCTGTTATTCTTGCTGCTACAGGACTCACAGCCCATTGTACCAGTAGTACCTGGGGGTCCATACTCGTCCTCGTCCTTTCACCCCATCTCTAGGTTCCCAGATATGGATTTGAAATAAGGACTTCTCTCTTATGAATTCACGCTAGACTAAAAGTCTCTCTAGAAAGGCACCATTTTTCTCTTTTACTGTGCTTTTTCCCCTTTTCCTCTCCATGTTCCATCTCAATAGCCCTCAGCAGTGCTTAACAGGATAACAAATGATGGTCAAATGATGACTTTAGGGGCAGGTAAGCAAGAGGTCAACCAGGTGGAAGCGTTCTAGTCTCGATTCTACCAAGGATTTAGTATAGAACTCTGGATGATTTGTTTTCTCTAAGCTTCAGCTTTACGATGCACATGAAGGCCTCTGTCCCTGCAGACAAACAGTGTTCACTGCTACTATCACCATCAACCTTGAAAAATAAGACACTTCTTTCCATTTAGAAAACTGCCCTGAGGCTTTAGTTAGCACCATTTTTTAATTTTTTTTTTTTAGGGCTGGGAATGGAATCCAGGGCCTTGTGCTGCAGCCCCAGTTTCTACTCAATGTCTACTGGGTCCTACTACATGAAAAGTTACCAGCCAAAGATATAAAAACCCAGAGGATAGAAACTGCTGATTAACTATCCCTCAAAGGGGCTCAGCATTCAGGTGGCAGCTGATAGGTGATATTAGTGCAAGACATAGGCTTCCAAACAGCCTAACCGTGAGCCCAGTGGGAACTCCATGGCCTGGTCTTCAGGCAGGGACCCTTGGGTTGCTCAAGCATCACGTGGCCAGCCACCTCTATGCAAACACTGCTGCAATCCAGTGTGCTTCCTGCCAGGCTCAAGGAGCACCAAGGGCAGTGAGCACCCTCGTCTCCAGTCCCAGGCCAGTCCAGCAAAGCACCTTGGTAGCACATGTACACCTGCCTCTGGAGACGCTAGGAATAAATGCACTTTTGTTTTGGGGGTTGTTTCTTGTCAAAGTTTTATTTTGTTTGGGGTTGTTTCTTGACAAGCTTGGGGATTCATCTGAGACCTGGTGGTAGTTCCCAAATAAGGACAAATATGGCTATGGAACCATTTTCTTTAGGAAGGTTAAAAAAAAAAAAAAAGACTCATTAGACTCACAAAAGGGTCAGGCTGTGCCTTTCCTGGCAACTGGCAGAAACAGAATTATGTCTTGCTGTGTTTGGTGGGCAGCTTCTTGGTTTCTGTTCTGTGCCAGCCAACTAAATCCCCCACTAGAAAGGCAGCAACAGAGAGCCCTGTGGGCTGAGGACAGCCAGCCCCGTGGGCTGAGGACAGACAGCCACAGGCTTCCTCTGAAATCTAGCAGTTTTCACAGACGCAGAGAGGCCAGAACGACACTCCCAGTGTTCCAGCCATGTTAATAGCCCAGAAAGAACTGCATGAAACTGTCCAGGGGCCAGTGGCTCAGAACACATGGGAAAGATGACCTATGGTGCACTTCTCTGGCCATGGGCTAGTTAGTGAGTGTCCCGGGGAACTACAACAGGTCCTCAGTGAAACCTGTGTCACTTGCTCCCACCAACCCCTTTTTTTCTGGCTAACTGCTCCTACTGTCTGGCCCTGGTCCCCCAAAGACAACCTCTCTGCCCAGTACCTGCAGGTCTTTGTCATGGCCCTGCCTCTCCAGGATCAGCACCCGGTCCTGTAGCTCCTCCACAGTCCCTTGTAGCAGGTCATTTTCCTCTAAGGTGGCACTGAGACGATGCTCCAGCTCTCGTTTCCGATCTGACAGCATCTTGATCTGAAAAGGCGAAAAGCCAGAGGGGTGGTGTGGAGTTACACCTGGCACGTAAGAAGAGGGACTAGCCTCAGTGACAAAGGCACGTGTCTCTCAGTGCTGTGCCCTAGGACTCAGAGGGCCACCACCTCAGAGAGAAGAGTGATGAAATCCTGGGTTGAAGAGAAAGCCCCTCCCCTCTAGAAAACCATCTGGTAGGGGTGGGAGTCAGACGTGAGGGCTGGAATGTGGGCTGCCAGGCAGAGGAAGGGATGATTAGTGCTCTGGAAATTCCGGAGATAAGACAGAAAAGGCCCGGCCTCAGAGGCGGTGGGGAGAGCCTGATCTTCTGAACTATTCTTCCCTCTCAAGACATGAGCATAAGAGAATGCCCAGGTCAGCTTTTGAAGCCACTGTGTGCTCACAACTGCTGGCTCTCTTCTATCCTCATCCCACAGTTGGCTCCTTGGGCACTAGAAGTCACAGCTCAGACCTGGGGTGCTGAGTTAACAGAGGAAAGAGCAGGGTGCAGAAGGCAAAGTGACGCCTACATCAGCCCGTGCCCAAAAAGGACAGGAGAGGGACTGTGGGTAACTGATTAGAGCGCCTTTTACCTGACCAAGTAATTTGTAAATAGAATCAAACTCTCCTTTTGTGAAAAAGGCTGACTTAATTCACCCACTGAGTACCCAGGCAGTCTCCTACAAGCATGTTCTTGTAGAAAGGTCTGTCTACCTCCTCAATGTCAAGGAGAAAGCAGAGGAAAGAGATATCTAGTCTTCTCTGGCCTCTAGGTCTGCAGGAAGAAAAGCTAAGCCAATGCTCCCAAGGCCAGCAATGCCTCACCAGAACACCACTCTGCTCAGGGACTCCGGAAAGCCCTCTCATCTTCTCAAGCAGTACTGGCTTTGGGGGAACTTTTGGGGTCCTGCAGGTCTTTGACCCCTCAGCTCCTCCCATTTATTAGCTCCCTGTTAGGCTGGTTTCGTATTCAGCTGCACATCTGTAATACTCCTTACGTGGTCTGGAGAATCATGCTTTTAAGCTCTGGGGACCAGCCTCAGGACCTTTTCAGGTTGAGACTTTGGAATGGCTTCGGATCTTGAGAACCCTTTCCCCCCTGCTCCTTAGCTGTTCTCACTCTCTGCACTAGAGTTCTGCTCACAGGGCCACCAATCAATCAGAGGATTCTGATCTGGGGAAAGGAGGTATGTGGCCTTTGTCCAGAGACATCAGATGGCAGGTAACAAAGAAATACTGTCTCTCAAGTGTGCACCTGGGTAAAAGACCAAAAGGAGCAAGCCTCTTTCGTGAATGGAACCACTATTTCTGACAGTGGAACACAGTGACCAGTATGAAGGGAATTCTCCCTCTAGCTCATTTTCATTTAAATATCCTCTGATCTTCAAGTTCTCCTTCCCATGGATCATCTTTGTTTCCCAAGTTTCCCTCAGTGGAGTGGTAGAGTAACGAGGTAATGTGATTCTGGTATACAACAGACTCTTAGAAGTGCAGAGTTACATGAAGTAATATATTTGAAATGAACAATTTCACAGCGTGTCTTCCAGTGGTAGTGTCACTGGATGAAGTAAGGAACTGGCACTATGCTGCCAACTCCCTCACTCCACCCTACACACCCTGAAACACATGACCAAATCTGGCAATAGACATTCCTGGGAATGACCCTGTTCCTGAGGGTTTAGAAAAAGTGAATGAGCGAGTGGGGGAAAGAGGAAGACGGGCAACTGGAAGGAGCCAGAGCCTGGCCAGGGCAACTGAATGGCAAATCATGCACACGCACAGTCACAGACAGGCATGCCAAACCCCACCGGTACAAACTCTACTTACTTCAAGAACCTGCTGCTCAATACCAGTAGGAAAGCCAAGGGAAAGGAGGAAGGAAGGGGATGGGAGGCAGAAGAAAAGAGAAGATATTGACAGGCTTTAGGAAAAACATCCTCAGGTCATTTATGAAGCAGAGAAGGAGCCGATGAGGTTTCTCAGGCCCCACAATGGCTGATTCCTTGGCCCCAGTGGAGGGTGCTCGTTCTGTCTGGCTCTAGACTATCCCCCAAAGTCTGACTTAGCCAAAGGGGATCAGGGGTCCTTGGAACAGATTGGGTGGAAGCCTCCCCTGGGCAAGTCCCTGCTCTGGCTGAAGTGACCCTCATCTTCTCCTTACCCCAGGGCTGGATGATCAAGTACTGCTCCTGTAATGTGGCTTTCTTCTCCGTGACCCACTCAGGGTCACAGACCCTGGCCATCATGCCTGGCCTCTCTTGTGCTTTCAGTGACATTATTGTGTCCTGGGACCATACATAGTGCTTTCTATGTACTCAACTAGCAAATCTTCCCAAAAGTCCTAAGACACAGAAACTTCTATTACTTTCACTTTACAGACAGGAGTAATAGCAGACCCTACTAAGGTGGACTGAACTGGACTTAGGAGGAGTGGAGAAAGGGAAGATGCCCTCCCCAGCTTTTATGTGGGGCTGGCAAGGGTTTTTTGGAGGGATTGACACACTCAGTAATATGTAGGTCACCCATGGTTTCAATACCCTCAGCAACTCTCAGCACCTTTATTCTTCCAGACAACAGAGGAGCAAGCATCAAGTGCTCCTCAGTTTCTCAGAGAAACATCTCTCTTCAGAGACTGTTAGTCCCTTTTCTAGAGAGCAGGCTTTTGTTTCCCAGCTCAGACGCTCCTTATCCAAAGACTCTGGTGCAGAGCTTCCAAGGAGAAAAGTGCTTCCCTCCGTGCGCGGCTGCCAGCAGGCTCACCTCCGCCTGCAGGCTCTCCAGCCGGATGATGTGCTGGTTGGTTGACGAGTTTTTCTCCCGAAAGTCTTCTCTGAGGGCGTGGACCTGCATGGAGAGTTGCCGCTCAACTTCTGATGCCTGCAACAGAGGAGACCTTCAGAGCAATTCGGAGGTGGGGAGGAAGTCTGCCAGCATGCCTGCCTTTCATTTCTCAAGCATCTCTTTGCACTTTCCATTCCATAAGGAGTTCCGGATGAGAAGCTGCCTTCCCACCCACAATCCATTTGTTCTGTAGCACCAAAGCAGGACACACCCCACCCCCACCATCAATGACTGTCTAGGGCCAAGACCACCTTATCAACTAGAAGCAACAGGTCCAGGAGAAAGGGCTCTTAAACGTTATCATTATTATTCTGCATATTTAGAAACTCAGCAAACATCCTCACCTTAAGAGAAAGCCTCAGTATTTAACATGAAGTAATGACAGATACACCTTCAGTTTTAAGAGTCCTTTATTTCTCCAATCCACCCGCTTGGCTGGGTTCAGGCAAATCACCTCTGCCTGCATTTCTTACTTCCACTCAACACTGGTACCATTTTGTTGTTGTTGTTTTGGTACCAGGGATTGAACCCAGGGGTGCTTAACCACTGAGTCACATCCTCACCCCTTTTTATTATTCAAGACAGGATCTTGCTAAGTTGCTTAGGGCATAAATTGCTGAGACTGGCCTCAAAATTGTAGGCCTCTGTTTCAGACTTCCGAGATTCTGGGATTACCAGTGTGCACCAAGAGTGCAACAACACTGTCACTATTTGAAATTCCTTGTTGAATCTGTTAAGATTTTGGCCATTCCTTCCCAAAGAACATTTTTTTGTTTTGTTTTTTGCAACACAATTCTGAGGGAGTGCTGACTGAGGTGCTTGCTTCTTTTCCATTCCACCCACTTATTCTTTAGTGTTGCAGGGGGTCCTCTGAAAGAAGATTCCCTTTGTAAGACATGAACTCTGGCCTCCTGAAGGCTCAGACTGACCCCACTGCAAGGGCTCTGCAGGCTGCCCTACAGAGAGCCTTGGACAAGCCAAGTAACTGCCTCAGTGATCTTCTGAGGCCAGATGGGGGTCAGTGAGCTTTATGGGTTCTTGGGGAGATATCACCATGTACTGGGATGGTTAGAAATGGCTTTAAGGAGGTGGGATGGTGATCATAATGTTGAAATGGTTGGCTAGCTGCTTAATGAGCCTCTCTTTGTAATGGTCACATCTTCAGCAGTTCTCTTTATTTTCAAGTGCTATATAATTAATTGTCTTTTTTGGTTCCACAGATTCAGCACACATGGCCTCACTTGAGAGTCACATAAGAAACCTATTTCTATTTTTTTTAAACAATGAATTACAAAACACAAAACAATAAAACCAAATTAAAACATCTTTTTCTTTTATAGTCCAAGTTTAATTTCAGACACCACTGGCTTGTTTTAGATGTCTCACTTAAACATTAGTTTAACATTAGTTAACATTTACTGAGTACTTATTAAGTGCCAAGAACTATTATGTTAAATGCTTTCAACGTCCTCTCTCACCTGTCATCCTTTTCTTCACCAACAAGGGAGTATATTCAGGTTAGTGAAGGAACCTGCCCAGGGCTTCAGCAGGTGAGACCATCAGGATAATAAACTCTGGGCTTCTCACTCTCAGAGTAGGACTGCAATATTGCCTTCTTGCACTTTTAAATAGCTTTTCCATTGCTCACTACCCAAACCAAACTTTACATGAGTTCAATTTAGTCTTGTCTTTTTTTAAATACTTAAAAAGTATTTAAGGCTCCCGGAATGTCTTCTAATGGAATGGAGGACCCTTTCATGTACTAGTTTCATTGCCTGTACATAATTCTGGGGTTTTAAACATATTTGAATTTGCAAAGCACTGGGTAACTCAGGTAGCTAATGGTATCCCTGGCACCACCCCCTTGACTTGACTCTCAAAGCCAAAGTGATGTGCTCAGTCTACAAATCAAGCTCAGCTATTCTAAGAAATGCTTCTGTAGACAAGTCTCTGCTCAAAGTGATCTTTCTAGAAATGGAAATCTGTCTCTTCTTACCAAGAAGATTGACTTTTAAACCACTAAACTATAAAACTATGTTTCATTTCAATGCGTGACTCCTCAGATGTGCCTAGAGATGTACGACTTTCAAAGGCTTTTAATCTACATTTCTCTTGTGAATCTCTATTAGCTTGAAGAAGCAGGAATCACTGGCCTCTGTATGCAGACCTTTCCTGGGGGTGGTGGGAGGTTCATTCTTAAATAGAGTAGAAAATGACAGGCATGGTTTACTTCTCAAATCATGAGTTTTACTCACTGTCCCTGATTAGGCAGCAAGTAAGAGTTGAAGCAAAATCCAGCATCTGGGTAATTAGCATTTCCATCTCTCTCTCAGCACTTCATGTTTGTGTCTTTAAGCTCCTCAGTATACACTGTATACATGTATTGAATCATATGGTACTCTGTACAATTAAAAATATCATTAAAAACGAAACAAACAGGGGCTGGGGTTGTGGCTCAGCGTAGAACGCTTGCTTGCCCAGCACATGTGGGGCACTGGGTTCAATCCTCGGCACCGCATAAAATAAATAAATAAATAAAATAAAGGCATCTGTTCAACTAAAAAACAAAAACGAAACAAAAAGACCTTTCAACATCTGTAATTATGGGTAAATGTAAAATAGATGCCAAGATTTTAGTCAGATATTTGTCCTTTTCAAATTTCTTTCCCTTATAATAAAAGCAGCAGATATTCAGATTGAGGGGAAAAATACAAAATTAAACAAAAGTTAATTTCCACTTACCCCTAGTCATTACTGTCACTCCCCAGAGGTAGTCACTATCACAAATTTTTCTTGTGGGTCTTCCTAGAAAGTTTCTATTCTATTCACACCTATGTATAACAATACCTAAAACCTTCCCTTTAAAAATACATGTATTTCATGCTGGGGATATGGCTCAGTGGTAGTGTGTATACACAAGACCCTGTGTTTAATACATGTGTGTATTATATATAAATGAACATCTTTTCATCTCAATATGTAGATCTGCCTTTTTTTTGGGGGGGTGGGTACTGGTGATTGAACCCAGGGGTGCTTAACCACTGAGCAACATCCCCAGCCCTTTTGATTTTGAAATAGGGTGTTGATAAGTTACTGTGGCTGGTCTTGAACTTGTGATCTTCCTGTCTCAGCTTTCCAGGTTACTGGATTACAGGCGTATGCCGTTGTGACCAGCTGTCTTATTCTTTTTAATAGCTAAACAAGTATATCATAACTTAAATTATAAATACATGATGATTTAACTATTTCCTACGGATGAACATTTAAAAGAGTGTTCCAAAAAATTTATTTTGCTATTATAAATATTGCTGCAAAACCCATTTTTGTTCACCCATCTTCATGCTTGTAGAATACCCCATAAGTAAATACATTCCTTAAGTAAAATCTCTAGGTGAAAAAATATGCACATCCATTCTGACAAGTACTGAAAAAACTTTCCTCCATGGTTGTGGCATCAATTTATTGTACAAAATGCTTACTTCTCAATACTGTACTGGGGATTATGAAATCATTTAATCTTTACTTATTTCCAGTATCTTTAAAAACTTAAATCTCTTTAACTTTCACTGTATGCAGAAAAAAGAAAATGTTCTAGAAATAACTCTAGTTCTGTTAACAGAATGCCAAGAAGTTTAACACTCACATGGTCCTGACCTATCCTAGTGCTTGGGTTACTGTTACTCAACCAATCCTCCAGCGTGAAACACTCTGACAGTGAGTTCTCTCTCCCTGATGGGGCAATTCGGTCAGAGGACCACTGCAGACACATTACCTCCTCTATACTGTGCAGAGATGTTCCCCAATTACTTTTCTTACTGACATGACTAGCAACAAATGAACATTCTCCCAAACTGAAACATTTAGATTAGGTTTGTTTAAACTGGCCAAGTCAAAACTGTTAACTATATGTTTTGTATTAAATGGAGGAAAGGAAACTGCGTTATTTACCCACAAACATTCATTCATTTGTCAAAAGGAAAAATAAAAAGAAAAAATTAACTTAGAAATTATTGCAGGAAAGATCTATCATATTAATATTATTCTGGAAGAACCAAGTCTTACTTTAGTATAGAAAATTTCCATCTGTCTGCTACCAAAGCACGACGGACCATGGGCACCTTGGGAATGGCAGTGAGAGTGACAGGATGATGATGACAGCTATAGCAATAGTTCGCACACTGAGCATCTGTCATGTGCTTGACCTGGATCTAAGTAGTTCACATTTACTATTTTGTTTAATCTTCATAATAATAAGTAGTAGTAGGAACCTGAAGTTTCCCACTTAAAGCTGCGGAGACTGAGGTAAGTCCTACTGGCAATGCTAAGTGCTGGATTTAGGGTTCTCACCTCAAAGGCCGCCTCTATTCAGACTTGACACAAGAGTGTCCCCTTTCCATTCCATTCCTCACTCAAAATGCTTATCAAACTGAAAGTGACATTATAGCAACAACCTTTAAAGTACCCTAATTTTAGTTAAGAAGAGAATTTTAAAAAAATATTGTGGTTGAGAACTACTGCTCTAGGACCATGTCGCCCCTGCTTTTTTTTGATACTGGGGATTGAACCCAGAGGCACTTAACTACTGAGCCATATTCCCAGCCCCATTTACTTTTAATTTTAGGACAGAGTCTCACCAAGTTGCTTACAGCCTCACTAAGTTGTGGAGGCTAGCCTTGAATTTGTGATCCTCCTTGTTCAGCCTTCCAGGCCATTGGGATAACAGGTGTGTGCCACCACGTATGGCTCTCCACATTTTTTTATTTGTGCATATAGTTGTACATACTGATGAGATTTGTTATATATCTATAGATGCACACAATATCACAATATAATTTGGCTAATTTTACTCCCCGTTACTCCTCCCTCCTTCCCCTCCACCTTGATCCCTTTTCTCTACAGATCTCCCTTTGACTTTCTTGAGATCCACCCCCCACTTTTTTTTATCCTCTCTAGCTTCTGCGTATGAGAGAAAACATACAGCCTGTAACCTGCTGAGTTTGACTGATTTCCCTAACACGAAGGTCTCTAGTTCCATC